CAAGATACTTAAGGGGCATCTTTGTAGAAATCCAAATCTGTAAACACCACAGGCTGGGAAATGCCCAGCCAAAGGAGCAGGTGTGTCAGTAAGAAGGTGAAGAAAATCCGAGTGCGGCACGGGGTTTTCTCCACTCCCTGGCAGCCTCTGTCCCCAGCAGACGTCATCCTGTCTCTTCAGTGGTCAGCACTGCCCAGCCTGGGCGTGAATTCTCGTGCACAATGGATTCAGGCAGGACTAGGAGTGAAGGGCCCCATGCTGGAAAAGACTCTCAGATCTGGTCCTGGGGCACGCTCTGGGGGTCTCCTGACTCCCCTTCTCCACTTCCTCTGAGGGGATGGAGTATTGGGAGAGGAAGCAGCCCTCTCTCCTACCACTCCCCCCATCCCCCAGGGCTGCCCTTGAAGCAGACTGGGTTGGGGAGCCTGGTCGGTAGGTTAAAACGTGCTCATGCTCTGCCAGTCCGCTGATGTGTCACGAAGCCACTCTTGTACCTGTCATCCCTACTCATCCTCTCCTGGGGACCGGAGCTTCTGCAGCACAGGGACTGTATCATCACACTTCACTAAGTCCAGCACAGCAGGGGCTTCCCAGAGGTCTTCTAAAGTGACCTTAGCCCATGCCTATGGCTTATCTCTGAACCCGATTCAAGCTCCCCATACTCTGTGCATAATTCGTCAGCCGTCCAACACTTCCCTTAACAGCATCCAAATACCCTGATGCCCAAAATGGTCACATGCACCTTCCAGCATGAGACCAGGATTACCCTTATCTCTCTGAACATCTCATCGCTGCTCTTGGACTCCAAGGGGCCGCACATTTCACGGAGTCTTCTCTTGTGAAAAGACCCACAACAGTTATTCACAGTTGCTGAGTTCTCCTGAGCTCCTCAAGGACAAATGGTAGATCTGGTTAAAACCAGAAAGCTCCTGAGAATGTAATCAAGGGCAACGAACCATGAGACTTCCCCTAGAGGCAGTCGCCTGAGAGAGCTTGGGCTGTTTTAACTCTGCAAAGACAGTATTAACCTGTTGCTTTCAACTGTGTTGGGTCGCACATTTAAATCTGCTCCCTGGGGATATGGTGACACACTGGGAGACCCCAATAAATACAATTCCTGAATCCCAGCCAAGAAACATTGGTGTGTGTGCAAGTGGAGGAGAGGGAGGGGCAGGAACATTGGAAATTCTAAATAAATGGAAAATTCTGGCTTGTACTTCACGGAGCATTCAAAAAGAATCTTCTCTTAGAAGCATGGGTGGGTCACATGCATCTAACCAGAATGCAAAGTTTACAAAGCATGGTAACGGCAGAACACAGCACAGGGCAGATACATGCATGCAGAGATGGACTCTGTTGCATACTGGGAAACCCATTTTGAAAAATAACAACAGGCTTCTTCTGAGAGAAGAAATTATTTATCCAAAACAGTGCTGGGAAAATTCAGATTTACATTTTTCCTAGGGCCTTTGAGTTGTGTATTCCTGCAATGAGTGAGCTGGATTTGATGAGGCTTTACAATGATTGTTCAAAATTAGTGTTTCAATGCTCTGGTTTCTAATGGGATGCTTTTGGGTTGGGTTTTATATTTGACAGATAAGGACCTTAATAACAGTTTTTGAGAAGCAATTCCTTAGGGCAGAACATCTTTGGATCCTCAATAGTTTTGAAGCGACCTGTTCTCTGCACTATTTTTGGTTTCTTTCTGTTATTTTTCTAAAAAGAATCCGGGAGTTTCATGTGTAAGGGCATCGTTCTTTTTTCTGTTTGCTCACAGATTCTGACAAGGCAGTGGCAAGAAAGGCTGACACTTTGCACATCCTTCACAATCTTCTAAAAGGATGGCTTAAAATCATCCTGCCTGAAACAGGGCAAAATTGTTACTTTTCTTTTCTTTCTTTTTTTTTTTTTTTTAAAGTCTCACTCTATCACCCAGGCTGGAGTACAGTGGCACGATCTCGGTTCACTGCCACCTCCACCTCCCGGGTCCAAGCGATTCTCATGCCTCAGCCTCCTAAGTAGCTGGGACTACAGGTGTGCACCACCAGGCCTGGCTAATTTTCATATTTTTAGTAGAAATGAGGTTTTTCCATGTTGGCCAGGCTGGTCTTGAACTCTTGACCTCAGATGAGCCTCAGCCACCCAAAGTGCTGGGATTACAGGTGTAAGCCACTGCACCAGGCCTACTGTTGACTTTTCTAGGGGTCTATCTTTTATATGTCTCTACACTAATTTTTTTCTTCAGCATTTTTTTTGTAGATGTTTGTTTTTGCTCTGTTTTCTTTTTCCAATTTCTGCATACCCTGCTTGTTCATGATGATTTCTGAACCACATAATCAAGCCAACCACTTTTTGCTATTTCACAGCAGTACTAATACTATTCCTGAACCATATATATTTCAGGAGACAGAGCAGATTGAGAAGGCCCGGGCCCTTTTCTGTATTCTTTTGGCTTGAGCCTAGGTCATCACAGTCTTGAATGTGGGAGGGTGAATGGAAGGAAAAGGCTCTGTGCCATTCAAAGTGTGCTCTTTTTGTGGCCTTTGGGAGTCTCTGGCTCCTGTTTCAGAGCTCCACTTCATCCTCGCCTGTCCCCATCACTCTCTGCAGCCGATCGGCCACCAGACCTTGTGCCTTCTGCCTCATGGTAATCTCCTCCCTGATTACCCGGCCGTAGCCTTACCCTACTCCAGTCCACCTTGCACTTTGCAGGCAAAGTAACCCTTCCACATCGTAAACAAGATCTTACCCTGGTTCTCACCACCTTCTAGACACTGCCCAAGTTCCTCAGCATCACTTACTAGGTCCTTCATCATGGCACCCTGCAGCTTCCCTCACCCCTCCCCTGGTCACCCACCCTCAGCCACACCAGCCTGGTATTCCCTGTGTAAGCCATGCTCTGTCTCATGCTTGCATATTTTTGTAAATGCCATTTCCTTGTTCTAGAATGTTCTTCTCCCTGCCTCCAGTAGGCCCCTTCCTGCTCACCCAGGGCATTTAGGATCATGCTTCCATGAGGTCTTCTGTAGGAAAAGTATGATGTACTTTCCTGTGCAGGCAGTGATAATACCATGAGCTACGTTTTTGTGTCGCAGTCCCCACTCGTCATGGTATCTCTCCCACTAGTGTGTGACAGTTTGTTTCCATGCATATATCCCCTAGCCCAAGTGCCTGCCCTCCAGAGCAGTGTTTCCCAAGCCATTCAGTGGTTTCCCAGGACCCAGCACCCCAAACACAATGAGTTCTCATTACAAGCTTGTTGAAAGGCAAATGAAGAACAAAACCTGTATGTATAATAATAATAGTCATGAGAAAGACAAGAATGAAGAGAAGACAATAGTCACCATTGGCATCTTAAATTGTGGAGCCAAGGGGAGGAACATTTGGGTCACCCTCAGGATCAAACTGCCAGGCCAGAAGCAATTCCACTGAGAGAGCACCAGGAAGCCTTCAATGCATGGAAACCCTGGGGCAAGTAAAAGGCAAAGCATGTGAGTCGCAGCTGAATCCCTGGATAATCACTGAGCTGTGACAAGGTCCAGGGTAGACTTGTAACCTAGCACAGAAAAACACATTACTGAGGAAAGAAAAAGAACGTGCATGGGGAATTTCAAGTTTTAGCTCTTCACAGCAAAGCATGCTTGGCAATTACAAGCTTCTTATATTTAAAAAAAAAAAAATCAGGCAAACCAAAACTCACTAACAGCATTAAAGATCAAGACCCACTCACAAGGAATTCACATACTCTGCTTCTTTGCAAGTGCAGTCTTGCACCTACAATGACTTGGTGCACCTCCTTACACAGAAGAAATCCACCTTCATGACTTGAGTATATATATATTAAAAAAAAAAAAAAAAGCTTTTCTAATGGCCCATACATTCCCAGATATCCCTACCCCATCATGCTCTTAGAAGCTGAAGCTGACTTAGTGAGAATCCATTTACACTAAACAATGTAGAGTAAGACAACACAAGCCAAGCCCACGACTGAAGGGAGCCCACAAAGAATGCGCAGCTCGTCCAATGTAACCAAAGATTCAACCAAAGATTCTAATTGCCCTCCAGCCCCAGGGCCAAGGAAAGGCCCAGGGAAGGCAGCGTGCAGCTCGCAGCTAATAATATAGGTACAACCAGCAGATCAAAAGCATCCAGTGAGGGACTCTGCCAAGTTTCTGTCCATAACGGATCCTTTGCACAATCATGATGTTTTGCTCCATTTTGTAAGCCCAGCTAAAAGGAGAAAAATCCAATCATTTTTCCTAAAGGTTGCTGGTTGAGAAAGACCAACTCCTTTTAAGTGTCTATGCACCAAATCTGTAAGATACAGATATTGAGAGAAGGGGCTCCATACCTGTTCAGAGCAGAGATAAACAGTTGGCATTCACTGGTATACAGCAATTGTCACAACAGTCATTAGGGAGCTGAACAAATGTTGAGAAATCCAAATGTATTCATTCAGAATGGTGCAAAATTCCTATGAAGTCCTACGTCAGGAAAGGAAAGAAAGACATTTGGGCGAAGGTAATCAAAATGTCTTGCTAACTCTTGCCTTTTCCTGATAGATGTTTTCCATAGTAGACCCCACTAGCACCTTGATCCTCTACCTTAAAGATGGAAAAGGCCTGGCAGAGGTTGTTTTACTAGGCAAGGTCTTGCTACAATTGAAAGGATGCCACCGGAGATGAAAACCCTACGTACATCTCTGCCGCCAAAAGAAGACTTCGGATCCAGGCATGATGCAACCAAAGATTCTTACTGCCCTCCAGTCGCAGGGCTGCAGAGTGGCCCAGGGAAGGCAAGATGTAGCTCACAGCTAATAAATCCAAACGTAACCAGCACATCAAAAGCATCCAGTGAGTGAGTTAAAACCGTGCTTCTATCTATCCCCCCAGAAGTGGACAGACTCTGCCTAGATTTGAGGTGGGGAAAAGAAGTCTAAATTTTCACAAGAATTAACTTCTTTTTCCTACAAAGAGACAATGAGGTGTTTCTCCTCTTACCTCATGGATTGCTGGAGTAAATGTAGAAACAAAAACTCATTTTCTTGGTCTCCAAGAAAGCAGACAGATTCTCGATGTGAGCAAGTCCTTGCACCTTTGATGCAAGAGTTTGGATGTGCTGGGTGAGGGTACCTGAGGCCCTGTTGATTTTATGAGTCTGTGGGCCAGCTCAGACTGGCTGTATGCAACTCATCTGTATGCAACAGCTCTCAAAGAACATAGTTTACTTTATAACCGGATCCAACAAGAGTAGGCGTTCCAGTTAAGTGGGTGAGATACCAAAGGTGTTGAGCTCCCGAGGCTAACTAAGAAGGATTTGTTTATGGAACCCTGGCTTCGAACCAGAAGGCTGGAATGCTTTTGTTGATGGTGTCTAAGTCAGAGGCATGAGGTTGAACACATGTGCACCTGGGGCTGGATGTTACAGGGCAGGGAAGTAGGGGTCCCCAAGGAGCCCCTCACCAGTGTCTCCTGTACTGTGAATCATTCAGTGGCCCTAGAACAGCAGTCCCCAAACTTTTTGGCACCAGGGACAAGTTTCATGGGAGATATTTTTTCCATGGACCAGGGAGGTGATGGG